ATCACAATAACTACAAAAGCAATAACCAATACAGTAGCTGTGAAGGGGAAGAAAAAGGTAGAATGGTAGATACAATGAATATATTAATAATGGAAAAGTGAAGCACTGTAACTACCGTTTGCTATACACTGTATTTAGGTTGTAATGGGACACCTGATAATTCGAACAGAATTTTAGGCGAAAAATTGGATTTTCATCTAACTTATGAATCTGAATCTAGTCAGGTAAGATCCAGTCCAAGAGTACTGGATCCGAATTGACTTTAGATGGATATTGATCTGATCCTAATACCCAACGCAGAGTCATGTACATAGTCAACTCTCCTTTTTCAGAAGCTATAGCGGGTTCAATTTAGGAGTATTGGAAAACAAATGTAATTTTGTTACACCAACTTTAATAACAAATTATATGAAATCAAGTGTCAGATTAGGGGTGAGCATAGTTCGGTTCAAACCGAACAAACTGACCAAACTGGTTGAAATTTAACAGTTCAGTTCAGTTTTTATTAGAGTTCGGTTCGGATAGGGTTGAAGTTTTTTCAACCAGAACCGACCGAACCGACCGAATTGTAATACACATTCTAATTACTATTTACATCCGCTTAAATCCGATCCATTATAGTTCATATAGAGTTACTTCTCTGCAGCTTGATATATTTTTCTCTCACGCAACCTGATAGCGATAAAATACCCTAACAATAGTGTTCTCTCCAATTCTAGGGCTTTTCATTATTTCTAGTTCTCTATCACTCTCTATTACATATTCGCTTCTTCTACTTTGGACCAATCAACTTTGGAGGCAATAAACTTAAATCATACTGTTGATTCTAACATTTTCCTGATTTTTCTCATTGATTGATACATTTTAAGATCAATCTTTTCTTTTGATCAGACTTATAATTTTATAGAAACTATACCCAACATCCAAGTTATTTACATATTTTTATTTACTTTGTCTATCAGATTGAGATCACTTTAATTCTTTATGTAAGTTTTCTCTAAAAAATTTATGTAATCTTTGGTAGGAATAATATTTTGATTTCTACATTCTATTATTCAGTAGCATTTAATAGTTTATAAACTTTAATAAATTGAAGTGCAAGACTTCTTTCTTCGTTAACAGATTAGAGGTGAAATTGAATTTGGACATAACATTTATACTTAAGTGAAAACCGAACAAACCGACTCGAACCGAACAAAACCGACTTGAATTGATTCACTTCGGTTTTGAATGATAGGCAGTTCATTTCAGTTTGGCCAAATTTGGCCAAAAGCCGAACTGACCGACCAATTGCACAGCCCTATGTTAGATGACAATGTTCTAAACAAGTATCAGGATTCAAATTTAAATATGATTTTCTCTTACGATTTGAACCATATAGTGTTTCTTGTGTTTGGAATCAGACATGACAAATAGATAGTGGGCTTCTTCTCAATTTGTTTTCTCAGTAGTCAAGGTGCATTTTTCAGTGATATGAAATCCACAATGTTTTAAAACTTAAAATCATCTAAATTATAATTCCTTTAACATCATAATATATCACTCTCAATGAATTCCACTAGATATAAAAAAATCTTGAAGAAAATTGAGAGGAAAATGATATAGGGCACTGCATTCATCTCTAAGGCAAAAATAAATAACCAAAGAGTCAAACTCCAGCCCCAAACCATACGACAAACTCAAATGAGTACAACTTGAAAATAATAATTCTAGGGTCCCATTCAATTAAAAGACTGACGCTAACTACTTCTGAAATTCCAATGGAAGATGAATCTAGAGAGATCAGCTACTTTCCAATATAATGATTAGTTACATAGTATGTCTGACCCTCCTATATCCACACGTTTAGAAAGCAGAAAACTAGAAAATTCAAAAAGGAAATGGGTAATTGTTACACATTTCTAACCAAAGAGCCCAAAGTTCCTCTATTAAACGCAAAACTCAAGACATTAAAAGTATTTTTTATCAAAAAACGTTGAAGTAATCTCCAAACTACCAATATCACCACCGCATCCAAGTAACAATATTTTGTAGCCATACTGTAGCTTGAAGCTTTTTTTGTCGGTAGATGATATGGGAGTCCCGTACAACAACCTCCCATACCTCAGCCAAAATTACACACTCCGTTAACGGACAAAGACAAAATGCAACATGGCTGAAACTTATAGCTTCATTTCTTCCTTGATAAAACTTAAAATTCAATGGTGCTGACATGGGTTATCACGTGATTGAATTATAACATAACTAAAATCATGCGCAACTGCCATTCCCTCCCCCCACCCCCCAAAAAGAGACTGAAAGTTGAATGAGGTAAAAATCATAACTTGGAGGCTTTGTATCAACATCGTAGCTTAAATTCAATATATCAAAGTTGAATGAGGTAAAAATCATAACTTGGAGGCTTTGTATCAACATCGTAGCTTAAATTCAATATATCTCATTCTCTACAATTCAATTTAATAACTTGGAGGCTTTGTATCAACATCGTAGCTTAAATTCAATATATCTCATTCTCTACAATTCAATTTGCAAAAATTCACCTCTGCTTCAAATTAATCCATCAAAAACATTTCAAACAAAACCAATATGCTATGCCAAAACTACACACTATCTCAAAGCAGTAGGCAATATCGGGGATCTATACATCAAAAAGCGAAAAAAAAAAATCCCGAAAAAAGGTATCACCTTTTGAGCTCCTGAGGGATCTGAGCACGGTCTTGAACCCTAGAGTGTACTTTCCACTCTTCATCACGAGAGCTAACCTGTTGTTGATGCTCTCCGTCGTCTTCTTCTGCAAATTTTCGTTTCAAATTCGAGAGGTCAGTTGTTGCTTCAGATTAAGAAGAAACCCTAAAAGCTGATATTAGGGTGTTGAAATTGAGAGGCTTACCGTCTTCTTGGTCGGCGCCATCGCAGCTCAGAGAGGAGAAAACCCTAGAAATTAATGATGTTGGCTGCGGATGAAGAGAAACCCTAGGGCTTGGCGGATCAGGGAGTAATATACGAGCAGGGATAAGTACTTTTACCAAATTAACCTTGTTATTTGGGTGAGTCTTGGGTCAGTACTCGGATCAAAATCCGAAACCGACCCAATAATTCTTGACACGGTTTTTTATTTTATTTTATTTTATTTTTGTTTTAGGGTAAAACATAAGAATTTTATTGAGTTACACCACTCTTACATCATTGTTGACGAATTCCACCACAAAAAGGAAGGACTTCCTTTGTCTATATAGACCAACAAAGTGGTAAGCACTTTTAGCTAAAGTACGAGCAACTTTGTTGCTATCTGGACGGACGTTAGATGAATAAAAGAAATTCAAATGGCTAAGAAGCTCTAGAATACCACCAATTATTAAGCCTATTTCTCGATTAACGTCTATAGATTTTAGAAGCTCAGTGAGTTGACAAGAATCAAATTTAATTCTAGATATGGGTGCTGATCTAATTGGATACGGATCAAAACCGGGTCGGTTTATCTAATTCAGTAAATATAATCCATATACTTATAGACTCTTTTGATCCGGTTAACCCGTTAAATTATTGAGTCCAGGAGCTATTTTTCATTTGATGTGAAAATAAATTACATCTAATGCTAGGTCTGGATTTCTTAAAATATCAAACTAATGAAACTGGATGAGATTATGAGCCTCACTCAATAATCGCACGCGCTTAACCCGTATTCCTGTAACTAAACTTAAGCTTCACCATCAAGTGTTGCATTAAAGAAGCTCCTCAATCAATCAAGCCACTAATCTCAATTTTTGTAGCCTTCTACTTCCCAAGGAAAACAAAGCTCCACCACCTCTCGAAATTCTCCCATTTTTGCTAATATTATGAGCATCTCTTTTCTTCCAGAGTGAGGATGTTGCTTGATACGTTATTTTTCAAAGGAAAAAAAAAACAATATGTATTATTAATAAGTAAATAAGGAAACAAGGGAGAAGAGAGAGAGAGAGTAGGATGAGAAAAACATCGGTCTAGAGATCAACCTAGTTTTCAAGTTTAACACTTCAAAAATGGCAATCGCAATCGAAAAACTCAAATGCTGAAGACAACCATTAAAGTCATATAAATGTAGATACAAAATAATGGATATAATGTGACAACTCATTTTGCTAAATGAGCTATCAAGAGATAGTCATATGATGAGGCCAGCCATAAAAGACACGTCAAAAGGTGTGAATCTCACTCCGTCATCTCTTGATAGCTCATTTTGCTAGATGGGTTGTCGCATCACAACAACCATTAAGCTCATACATATATGATTTCTTTCCGGAGAGCTTCTATGCTTCTATGCGCAAGACATGAAAGTGATTAGTTAGCCTATTAATCATCATTAATTTATGTGTAGAAGATGTAAATATGATTAGATCAGCTCTATTAACACCATCTTTTAACAAAAGTAGCTATGCTATGCAATGAGAGATTTGATCTGGACCGCAGTTATAATTTGATATTAACCGAAATCAAGCATCAAATATGACGTGTATGAGCTCCATATATACTAATAATCACATCACTTTTAATCTGCTCAAGCTTCATCATCAAGTAGAATTAAGCTTCCTAAATCTAGCCATTAATTTCAAATTTGATGGCCCCACACTTATCTAAACTTAAAACTTTCCGAAAATAAAAGAAGCCAGAGCTTCCCTCCCCCTAAAATCCTCCCAGTTCCGGATATTTCGGCATCTCCTCCCATCCAAAATGCGGAAAAAATCAAAATTGCGTGCTAAGTTATCATTTATAAATAAGTAAATAAATAAATATACAATAATAATAATAATAATAATAAAATAAGGAGCGAGAGCGAGAGAGCGCGTTGATCGAGTCCCCCGTAGCTGACGATCCCTCATTTTCTCTCACTAGGTAAAAATTTTCTCTCTCCTCCCTGATTAGGGTTTTCTCAGATTCCATAATTGAGCTCCCAATTTCGGCGATCTGAGCTGAAACGGGCGTCATTGGACCTCCGAGTGAGATATCGGGGTTGAATTATGCAGTCAGTGGATGATCTGAGCTAGGATTTCGTCCAAAGTTGGTTCCTTTTTATTGATCTTTGTTGTTTCTTTGGCCGTTTTGTTTTTTCTTTTGCAATTAAGTTAATTTGTCTTGAGCTCTGTTTATGGTAAGCGCTAGTGTTCAAGAATCTATTTTGTCTTCAATTGGGGGAAGGAGATTAATTTCTTTCTAAATCTGGAGGGAGCTCCCTTTGTATTTTAATTGTTTGCTGGTTTTTATTTTGGTAAGTAATGAGATAGTTATTGTGCGTTCTGGCTCATTAAATATTGTGTCTTTTTTCTTTTAAGTTTAAATTTTATATTATGCTTTGTTAGAAATTTGTTTCCCTTCATGCTTTGTGACCTTTTCTGCTTAATAAAGCTTGATGCTTTGTGATCTGTTGAATGTCTACCTGGTATCTGTTGGCGATGGAATTATGATTTGTTACAATTACATAATTTATTAATCACTTTGCATTCATCATTTTCAGCTTTGCAGTTGTATTTGTATCTATTTCATCAAGAATGAAATACGATATGTTTCTCTATTCATAATTCTAAAACCTTTGTTTTGTTGCATGTGGGGGTTTTAATTCTAATTTCGTGGATTCACTGTGCTTCACAGAAATGTTGGTTATCTACAAAATTTATCATGAGTTAAATAATGATTTTACTACTCGTATTTTATCAACCACACAATACCTCGTTTTGTTGTGTATGGTGTTTTTAAGCTGCTTTACATTTTATCACAGAGTCTCTGTTTTCTTTAGCTTTCAGTAACTTGAGGTCATTGTTATGTACTCAGGTTCTGGGCCATGAGTGATACCACAAGCGAGAGCAATAGGAAAATGTTGCCAAAGGACCAAGTTAGTTCACTATCAATTGATGAAGGAAGCTCGGGAGGTTCAATGGGTGGTAGAGGATCATCAGGCTTAAAGAAGGGACCTTGGACATCTGCTGAAGACGCCGTTTTGGTCGAATATGTAAGAAAGCATGGTGAGGGGAACTGGAATAATGTCCAGAAGAACTCAGGACTGTCTAGGTGCGGTAAAAGTTGCCGCCTCCGATGGGCTAATCATCTGCGCCCGAATTTAAAAAAGGGAGCCTTTTCACCAGAAGAAGAAGAACTGATCATTAAGCTCCATGCGACGATGGGTAACAAATGGGCTCGGATGGCTGCACATGTAAGTCTACTCTTTTGCAATATAAGTTAGATACTGTTTGAAATGAAAGAGAATTAATCGAAAGTGGAAGATTGTATATTCTATGTTCATCGTCTCTCTGTTTATATACTTGGAATCCTTTTATTTTCCGTCCTCAAAGATAGAATGATTTGGAAGTGCAAAATCCAATTGAAAAATCTACACATCTACTTTTGCTAAAATTTTCTGAGCCTTACGAGAAAGCCAAAGTGAATTCATGTGGTTACATGTCTTTGATTCTGAATTGGATTAATGACTCTGGTCAGGGAGGATTGTAAGGAAATTTTATTTCTTATGCAGTATGATGCTTTACGAAATGGTAAGATGCACACAGTTCTAAAGTTCTTAGAGAGGCGAAATGAACCTAGTAACTGGTTCTACTTGTTCATTTCTTTTCAGCTGTCCTTTTGATTTTCCTCCTTCGGCTTCATTTCTGTCTTTATGTTGAAAGGAAAAGGCAATGAATTTTACCTAGTTCAAAGTTAAATGAGTTAATTATGGGTGATCTTATGTTCTTACGAGTTTTGGCATTTATCTCAAACCATAAAGCCTGCTTTTCTGATTATGTACATGACTATATATGACTATGAGATATGGAAATATTAAAGCATCACGGAATCACTTTCAGCTCCACTCATTTTTCTAGTAGTTATTTAGCAGTCGAATACTTGTAGTTACTCTAGCATTATTCATAGAATAGTGAAGGAAAGCAATTAACAAGGAAGGATTGGTCATGTTGTCCTTACCTTTAGACAAATCATTATCTTGGATAAGTACACAGTAAACATATAAACCCATGTCTGGAGTTTCTTGTGATTTATCATTGGCTTGATTGCACCCCTAAAATGTGAAAATAATAATATGACAATAGACATGACAACAAACGCTTAAAAGGAGAAATATCCTTAAGGACAAAAGATGGCACCAAACATATGGAGAAACAGCTGTAGGCACAAGATCAGCCCAAAATTTCTTAGTCATACAGATAAAAGAAGGTAACAAGTTTTCCCCCATACTTTGTGATGTTCACGTTCAGCAACTCCATTTTTAATTGATAACTATAATGACATGACAACTGTGTACAATGTCTTATTCTGCTAAAAGATGACAAAACTCTTTGGAAAGATACTATCAGAATCAGATTAATGGAACTTAATGGTAGTACCGAACTAAGAACTAATCACAACTGTGAAGTCACGGTAAAATGTCGAAGAGTAGAACTATTTCTAGATTAACACAGAAGTAGCTTTGAAGCTTTGTATAGTGTCATTTTCTTTAAATGCTATTATAGGTTGATACATCCTAATAATATAGATATAGTTGCTAGATAACTACTTCAATTAAAAAACTTAAGCTGCTGTTATGGGCTGACAATACACGCTTTCTCGTTTGAACTTGTGGGACACATGAAAATTCCTCCAGTTGTTTGAAAGTCTGGGTGAATGATGGTAGTTAGACATATATTTAGTTTGTTAATAATGAACCTTTTTAGAAATGTTCATTAGTCCCATTTGTTCCAGTTGCCCTAGCTACCAGTGTTTATACAGGAGGCCACTTTGCCCAAAAGGCCATGGGATTAAATTGTAAGTTTGATTGAACATTGGTACCAGCATGGTATAAAGAATACTTTAACATTTGACGATATTTATAGTTTACTTTGCTGTAGCATTAATGTTTTCTCTACTCATCCTTTTTTCCCCCTCAGTTGCCCGGGCGTACCGATAATGAAATAAAAAACTACTGGAACACTCGGCTTAAGAGACTCCAGCGTGCTGGGTTACCAGTCTACCCTTCTAATCTCTCTTTCTCAGCATCTGATGAGAATCAAAGAGGCCAAAATGTTGGAAACTTCAGCAGCATCGGTAAAAACTACAATGAAACCCTGCAGGGAAATGGTCTTGATAGTCCCGATTTTTTATTTGACGACTTCAAAATGGCACCAAAATTCTCTGATATTTCGGTCAGTAACGTGCTGAATCTAGGGTTTGGATCTCCAAGTTATAGCTTCATCAACCAATCACTGGACTGTAAACGACTTCAAGGAAATGAAAACTTCCTTCACATGTTTGAGAATTTCTCTGATGATCCATCTGAAAGGATTAACCTAACACTGGGTACAAGCTATCCTTATGATCCTGATCCTCTCAGCAAAAATATATCACCCTATCAAGGTGCAATTTTTGGCAGCCATGCCCTAACTAATGGCAACTTCTCTACTTCCAGGCCCTTTTTGGGGACTGTGAAGTCGGAGCTCCCTTCACTCCAATATACAGAATCCGATCCAAATTTCTTGTTTGGATATGATTCTTATGATTCTTCGCCTCAACCTGAGGCAGTTGATTCTTATATTCAATCCCCTCCAGCTGCTTCATTGCAGTCTGAGTGCTGTTCACCTAGGAACAGTGGCCTTTTACAAGAAGTGCTTCAAGAATCACATGCAATGTATAATAATGGCAACAGATTATCATATGACAAGAGCTCGAATTCTTCGATAATGACTCCGAGTGATGTTGTGGATAGTTTGGGAAATAATTTCTCGGAAGCAAGTGTATGGAACGATGGTGACCCGATTTCTCCTTTAGGCTGTTCTGCTTCATCTGTGTTCAAGGAATATACTACTCCAATCAGTGGCAGTTCCTTGGATGAGCTTCCTCTTTCAAGACGGTCTTCAGGTAACCATGTAATATTTGGTGCTAGTACTTCAAGAAATTGTGTTTTACATTGTTAATGATAGTTTAAGTTTCGCCAAGCCACCATTGACTATTTTGGATTTGACATAAAAATTCCATGAACTATTTTTATTATAGAAAAAATACTATGCACAATTTTCATTAAACTATCATGGTTTACAGACGTCACGTTGACATGTGATGTGCACACGGCGTGTTTTGGACATTTTCTTTATATAATTACTTCATCACCTTGTTCTTAACTATTAATTTATCACCTTAACTATTAATTTATCACCTTCTCCCTCTTCTTAATTATTAGGTGTAAGATTTTTTAAGGTTAATATCAGAAAACCCTCATGACAGTGGGAGTTTTTTTACATAACCCCTTGAACTTTATGGCATCTCAAAAAACCTCCTGAACCTTGAACTTTTCACACCGGACCCCTGACATATAATTTGCAACTAAATAAAATTTCCTTGAGAGAAAAAACCCTAATTTTTTTTTGGAGTTCATTGCCTACTAATGACAAATGACAAAATTTGGGATTTTTTTTCTCTGAATGACATCAAACCAAAGTTAAGGGGGATTTTGTGAGACAACCCAAAGTTCTGGGGGGTTATGCGAGTTAAATACATTTCAGGGGGTTATGTGAACCCTTTTTTTGACAATGTATTCAATGTCGTTAGGTTTTTCACGATAATATGTGGTATTTTTCTGCAGATTTCAATGCTTGTGGTATGATAAAAAATAGTTTGTGGTGTTTTTGTGACTCATTATAGTTCAGGGTAGTTTTATGAAATTTACCCTAAATGATATTATTGGTTTGGGTGGCACTACCGGCACACCACCAACCACACCTTGGGGCACACCCCTCTCTCAGCTATAGTGCATGGGGTCCACATGAAATTTTTAAAAAAATTTCATGTGGGCCCCGTGCAGTGTAGCTGAGAGAGGGGAGTGTGCCCCAAGGTGTGGTTGGTTGTGTGCCTCTACCATTTCCCTATTGGTTTCCCATGAACAGAGGTAGACTAGGCTAATCTACTTAGACCCATTGGACTTCAGGATTAATCTTATTGAGTTAAGTATCACCATATTTAACCATTATTCCATCTTTTTCTGATGTGATACTAAATACAAGTTCATGCCATTACTAAATCGATGATTATCTGAACTGATTGGATGTGAGTCTCCTTAAAAAAATATATGGATCATAGACGTAAAGTGTTAGTTTTCGATTGTTGCAGGTTCAGACATCACATTACCAAGTATCGAGGACGTTTCAACCTCAAGCATAACGGAGAGGGACATTAAGCCCAAACCAGAATTCTTAAGGCCCGATGCATTACTGGGCTCTGCTTGGCTTTTAGATAACTCCCATATAGCAAAAGATCACAATAACATGAACAACGCCGTGTCAACACTTCTTGGCGATGACTGCTGCATCGATCGCAAGCCTCCACCAAATGAAACATCATACATCGACACCGGAGGCCTAGGGCTGGATTCTTATCCATGGAGTAATATGCCTGGTGTTCATCAAATGTTTGAAAATCTTTGAGATTTGTTTCAATGGAGTTATTTGTTCGAGCTTTTCATCACTATTGGTACTTGAGATTTTGGTGTTAGGTTTGTGGATTGATGTCTAGATTTGATTGTTTAGGCTTCAAGTCTTTGGCTTGGGTGCAAGTGGATTGATTTGAAATTGAAAAACTTTGTTCGTTTGGTTGCAGTTGTTTTGATGGACTCAGTTTCATTCAAGGATTATTAAAGACTAATTAGAGATGAAATTTTGGTTGCTATTGTTATGTTGGATTAGTCATTGTTTGTTTTCATGCATGTATGAAATAGTTTTGCGTAGTTTTCCTCTTGTATTGTTATATGCGGAGATTTCAATTTTTTTTCCCTTCTCTCATTGCCTACTAATTTGATAAAAGACAATTATGGTAGTTGCATCATAATATTTTTCGATTGTATGAATATGTATCTAATAGATTACAATTTGATGTGCCTAGATGCAGTGTGTGAAATCATATTCTATATGTTTATATATCAGTGGAGAATATTAACCCCATATCCGACCTATTGTTAACCCTATTTAATTATTTCTCCATATAAACGAAATAAAGTATGATGTTAGGTTATGCTTGTAGCGTTTGCTTACTTATAACGTTATCATAATAATGAACAAACAAATATATAAATAGGGGGAAAAAGTTATATTCTACTCATTAGTTATCATGATTCAAGTTTAAAACTTTACTTTTAAGACCAAAATATTTTGGGTAGAGAGAGAGTGAGAGAGTGGATTACCATTTTCTTGATATCTATGTGCGACTAATGATCTCTTTGTTTGGTTTAGTTGTGAAGAGTTTCAAGAGGCTAACCGCTGAATCTATAACAACTAGTGGGACCCACATTTTTATTCTGCTTTAAAATATATATATAACAACTCGTTGGGACAACGATTTTGGAGATTGATGGTTAAATGAACGTTAAGATCCTATAATGTAGAATATTATATGTATATACGTAGTTGTAGTTATTCATCTACCACGTGTTATATTATACATATATATATATTATTATACTTATGTTATGTATATATGGGGAAAAATTGATTCTAAGGGGACACCTTAGATTCCCAACTAAGGGACGCGGCTTGAAATCACAATTTCAAACATCCCTCGTTTTTTTTTCGATCCGCTCCGGTTGAACTTGATTTACATCTTAAACCCAAACACCACCAAATTTGGGGTGAACCCGCATGTTTTTGGACCCCCTTCGTTGGAGCCGTGCAAAAGAGTTATATTCTATTCGAAACAGTTAAAATTACGACGAGTGGGATGAATGGGGTCAACAAGACACAACGGGCTCACCCCAAAACTTGGTTTGTTTAGGTTTAAGAAACGTGCTGGTAGATCAAGTTAACGGAGCTGGATCGAAAAAACAATTAGGGACTCATGGATGCTGGATTTGGTAGGGGCCGCCCCGTGTGCCTTTACGGGTGGGAATCTAAGGTGTCACCTTTTAAACACTTTTCCAAATACTACTAATAGCACGCTAGTAGCTTGTGTACCGTTATATTTGTGCTAGCTAAATACTCCCTATAGCGGCCGTTCAGTGATATTTACATACTGTGTAGTAGCCTTATGACTAGGTAGTATAGTAGTTGTGTCATCTGATATATGAGAAATATGAGTATACTTGGTACCAAGCACAAAATTTATGCTTGGTAGTGAGGTGGCATATTATCCTCCACTCATTCAAATGGGGAGATCACATTCACATGGGTTGAATGTGGTCCCCCAATTGAATGAGTGGATGTGAATGAGACACCTCACTACCAAGCACAAAATTTATGTTTGGTACCAAGCATACCCATTTTCTCTCTCTCTCTCTATACACACACACACACACACACACACACACACACAAGTTGAGATGCACGTGCAATGCACGTGGTTGAATATCATAGTTATTTAAATTGATAACAATAGAGTAAAAATAAAAAATTAAAATAAAGTTTTTTTTTGGATTGATCATCAACTCAATAACCTCTCTCTTAAATAAAATATTATCATTGTTTCCTTCAACTAAGATTGTGGCCACGCGATCTACTATTTGTGAGTTATAAACACATTAATCTAATACAACACCTCTATTTATTAGTATCTTGAAGTCTTCAAAAGATGAGTGATCATTCAATTCGTAAAAGAATTTTATATATGAATTTACTTGCAATATGTCCATTAAACTTTTAGTTGTTGTTGATCATACCAAGCTATGGGGCGGTTAGAGTGTGCATTTTAGTAGGCGATCTCCCTGCTAACTTGCGCCTCCGCCGAGATTTCAATGGCGAAATCGAGGAAGAAGAAGAGCGCTAGCAAGGGAACTCTCAACAAGGAGCTACGAGATTCGCTTTTCTCTTATCCTTCATCGTCTGGGATCTCTGCAAGTTCCGGTGCTGGAATCTCTATAGATGCTGAATCGGATGTAACAGTGAATCCTCTCCCTCAAGAAATGGATAGCACTAGACCTAAGGGGGCAAAGAAGAAGGTGTCGATGGATGAGATTCTCTCAAGAACGATTTCTCTATCTGATCCTCTTCAGATTGGTGCTGATCCTAGAATCTCTCATGAACTAAGTAAATCCTCTCAATCCTGGGCTGATGATATTGAAGAATTTGTTGAATCTGATCTGGTTACTGATTCCTGTGATGCGCTTCGAACTCCTTTTATAGATCAGCATGAATCTGATTCTACTATTCCCAATCTTGAAGAAAACTCTAAAAGGAAATCTGATGAAATTGCTCAAGATAAGAATAAGAGCCTGGAAAAGAAAGATGACGAGATTAAAATTCTTGAAAATGAAATACAAGGGAGTAAGCAATCTTTTGTCAGCTTATTCTCTGATAATAGACAAGTTGGAAGAGGTTTATCTTTAAACTTTGTTCCTTTTTCCCAGGGAAATATTGTTTCTTTTCATGAGGAAGAATGGAGAGAAGGGGAATTTTTTTGGAAATATGCTTTAATAGGGCATGTAATTGGGATGAATGTTAAGTTTAAATCAATGAAGTCCTATGTTACAAAGCTTTGGGGTAAAATCTCTATTCCTAAAGTCTTTTTAATTAAGCAAGGAATATTCCTGTTTGAATTTCAAAATGAGAGCAGTATGAGGGGGATACTTGAAGGGGGTCCTTGGTTCTTTGGCTCACGTCCGCTTGTGCTAAAGCCATGGACAATTGATATGGATATTGAGAAATTACAGGACCAGAAATATCCCATATGGGTGCAATTTCCTAATCTGAGATTGAATTTATGGAGTTCCACAGGTATTAGCAAGATTGCAAGTATGATTGGATGCCCTATTGCTACTAATAAGCTTACTGCCTCAAGGCAAAGATTGAGTTATGCAAGGGTATTATTGGAAGTAGATCTCCCTTTAAAAGTACCATTACCTGATCAAATTGAGATCCAAGGACCTGATGGCAAAAATTACTATCAAAATGTGTTCTATGAGTTCAAGCCAAGGTGGTGCTCCTTATGTAAATTTATAGGTCATGATACTCAGCACTGCAGGAAAAATGTTGTAAAAAAAGCTTGGGTGCCTGTTAAGAATTCCAATCCTCCTCTCTCTCATGCTGCAGGAGGAGAGACAAGTACTGATAAGGATGATGCACAAAATCACCAGGGTTCATCTCAAGATCCTGTGAATGGCCTGTCTGGCATAGGTCCTTTGCTGGAAAAACATGCACAAATTTCTTCTGTGCATATAAATAATTCTGGGAGTAGACTGAATGGAATACAACATGCACGGAATCCTTCTGTCCCTCTACAGGCTGTAGGAGGAGAGACAAGTACTGATAAGGATGAGTCTGGCATAGCTTTGCTGGAAAAACATGCACAGATTTCTTCTGTGCATATAAATAATTCTGGGAGTGGGCTGAATGAAATACAACATCTGCTTGAAAAACAACATGCATAGAATCCTTCTGTCCCTCTACAGGTTGGAAAAACATGCACAACAGGGGGTTCTTCTAATCAGAAAACTTACCCTTTCTCTTCTTCTATTAATTCTACTGGTTTTACAAATGTTACTAGAGCTCTTGCTGCAAAAAGACTTATTATGAGAGAACCTGGTACATCAGTCCAAGCTTCTCAATTCTCTATCCTTGATCATCAAAATTTTGATTTGGATCCCTCTAATGCCGATAGAGGAGATTCTTCTCAATAAATGCATCTAGCTATTTGGAACATTAGAGGATTGAATAAATCCTCTAAACATGGGACAGTGAAAAAGTTTATCCAGGAGTATAAAATTTCTTTTCTTGCTCTCTTAGAAACTAAAATAGCTAGTGATGAGAAATTGTAGATTATTGGAAAGAAAATTGCAAAGGAGTGGAGTTGGTTATCTAATAAGCATTTGGCGAGTAATGCTAGGATTTGGATTTTATGGGATAGTGAAGTGTTATCAGTTCAGGTGGTTAATTCCTCTGATCAATATATCACTTGTGATTTGAAATCTAAAGATGGCAAATTATCATGTCTATTCACTGCAGTTTATGCCCACAATCAGAATGATGAGAGGAAAGCTCTTTGGGAAGATTTATTAGCCTTCAAAAGGAGTGTTGTTTGCCCATGGCTGGTGGGTGGGGATTTTAATGCTATTGTAAATGGTGATGAAAGAATTGGAGGTGTTCAGGCATCTGGAGTTGGAAATGATGATTTTCAAAGCTTTATCTCATCTAGTCAGCTGAGCCATATAAAAACTACTGGTTGCTTTTTCACATGGAGCAACAAACAGGATGCTGAAACAAGAGTATGGAGCAGACTGGACAGATCATTGGTGAATGAAGATTGGATTAATCAATATACTACAAGTCAAGTTGAATATCTGATGCCTCTATGCTCTGATCACTCCCCTGGTCTTATTTCTATTGGTGATGACATTTATGAAAGTAAAAAGCCTTTTAAATTCTTCAATATGTGGGCTAAACACCCTGATTTTCTAGAAGTGGTGAGGTTAGTTTGGAATAAGAATGTCAGGGGATATAACATGTACAGATTTTATGCAAAACTTAAAAGTCTCAAACATGTTCTCAAGGAACTAAATAGAAAGAGTTACATGAATATCAGTCAACAAGTTTTGAGAGCTCAAGCTAAACTTTTGGATGTCCAAACCAAGTTGGATGCTGATCCTTTTAATTCTGAACTGATACTAAGTGAGAAGGTTTGCATTAGGAAATACTCTTCTATGCTGGAAAATGAAAATTCTTTCTTGAGGCAAAAAGCAAGCATCAAATGGGGTCTTCATTCAGATAAGGGCTCATAATTTTTTCATTCAGTTATGAAATCTAAGAGGCACCAAAACAGAATTTTGTCAATATATACTGCTGATGGCTCCAGAATCACAGATTTGCCAGAAATAACCTCAGAGCTCATTGAATTTTATAAGAAGTTGCTGGGATCTGCTAAAGCCAATACAACTGCTGATCCTAGTATAATCTCTAATGGCTCCATCTTAACTTCTGAACAGCAGCATGAACTGATTTCCCCTGTTTCTAGGGAAGAGATCAAGCAAGCTTTATTCTCAATGCCTGATAGTAAGGCTCCTGATCCTGATGGATTCAATGCTTTCTTCTTCAAGGCTGCATGGTCTGTCATCAGTGAGGATCTTTATCTAGCAGTTGAGGAATTCTTTCACTCAGGTACACTATTGGGTTCCCTTAATGCTACATCTATTACTCTTGTGCCTAAGGTCCTTAATCCTATCTTGGCTACTGATTATCGACCTATATCCTGTTACAATGTTATTTATAAAATCATCTCTAAAGTTATTTCCAGCAGGGTTCAAAAAGTTATGGGCTGTCTTGTCAATGATGCGTAGTGTGCTTTTGTAAGAGGGAGACTTATATCCAGTAATTTTTTACTTGCTCATGAGCTTGTTAAACACTATGGGAGGAAAAATAACTCCCCTAGAGCCATTTTAAGTGTTGATCTGAGGAAGGCTTTTGACACTATTAGTTGGGACTTCATAAGGAGTATGTTGATTGGATTGATTTTTCCTAATAATATGGTATGCTGGATCATGGAGTGTATATCTACCCCCAAATTTTCTCTAGCATTGAATGGAGGACTGCATGGTTATTTCCATGGTGCAAGAGGCTTGAGACAAGGGGATCCTCTCTCCCTCTATCTTTTTATTATAGGGATGAAATTTCTATCTAGAAGGCTCAATACTCTAAAGGATGATTCCTCATTCAAATACCATCCAAAATGCTCTAGGTTGAAGATTAATCATCTGATTTTTGCTGATGACTTGCTGCTGTTATGCAAGGCTGAAATGAGCTCTATTGTGAAACTTTTTACATGTCTCCAAGAATTTGGACAAGCTTCAGGCCTGGAAGCTAATTCAAGTAAGTGCTCTGTCTACCTGAGTGGTGTGAATGATGGTCTCAAAGCTCAGATTTGCAACTATCTCCAATTCCCTGAGGGTGTATTACCTATGAAATATCTGGGTCTGCCTCTGACTGCAAAAAGGCTTTCATATAATGATTACTCTAGCCTTATTGGGAAAATTAACAATCAATTCCAATCCTGGCAGAAAAAAAGTGCATGTCTTATGCTAGTAGACTTGAGCTGTTCAAGTCTGTTATTTTGGGCATTCAAACATATTGGCTAAGCAATTATATTCTGCCAATAAAAGCTCTGGTAAAATTGACAGAATGTGTTCTGATTTTCTGTGGGGGCACAAATTTTATTTAGTGAATTGGGAATCTGTTTGTCAAGGTAAAGAACAAGGGGGTCTGGGTATTTTTTCAGTAAAGTTCTGGAACTATACAGCTGCTACTAAGCTCTTGTGGATGGTTCATCTCAAAAAGGACCTCCTATGGATCAAGTGGGTGCATGGTAACTATCTACAAAATCAAAATATATGGACTGTTCAACCCAAGGCAAATGACTCATGGATGTGGAGGCAACTCCTTAAAGTGAGAGTTATCCTATTGAACACGTTTGGAAGTGCTGATATTGCAAAGAATGTTATAGCAGAATGTTACACTGATGGCAAACTCCTTTTATCTGTAGTTTACAGGGCCCTTATCCAACCTGCTAGTGTGGTTGTTTGGGCAAAAACGGTTTGGGATGACTTCCTGTATCCTAAACACTCCTTTATATTATGGCTAGCATGTCACTCAAGACTCCTTACCAAGGATAGATTGTGCCGAATGAGTATCCTGAGCACTAATCAGATCCATTGTGTCCTGTGTAACAGACACCAGTTGGAGACAAGGGATCATGTCTTCTTTGAGTGTAAATACTCAACTGAAGTATGGAACATGGTGATGGACTGGTTGGGGGTATAAATGGAGGTCCTGTACATGGAGCATGATTTTGAACTGGTACTCTTACAATTTGAAAGGTAAAAGTCCTATGAAGAAGCTAAAAAGAATGTGTTTTTCCACTGCTGTATATATGATTTGGAGGGAAAGGAATCAAAGAATTTTTCAAGACAAGAGGAGGCTGCTTGCTCAAGTTCTTAGATATATTAAACTTTCGGTTTTTCTAAAGTTCAAAATGATAGTATACATGTGCATATGAAAGAGTTACTTAAAAACTTGTAATTTCTCTTTTGTTTTCCAGGATTTCTGGTACATTGTTGTTCTTCACATTGTTCAAATTTGGGAAATGAATAAAATTTCAGTTCATTGACAAAAAAAAAAAACTTTTAGTTGTGGTTTGACTCATATTCACATAAACTTTTAGTTATTGTTTCACTCATATTTATATTATCTAATATTCTCATTCAATTTTATAGCTCATTCTCTGTATCATAGAAGTAAAACTAAAAGTATGAAAAATTATTTTTCTTACGAAATTAGAATAGGAAGATTATGATATATTTCGCTATGTGCTCTAAATATAATTTTTTTCTTTGATACAAGGTCCATATCAAATCTTACCCTAAATGATGTGAATAAAAAAATGTTATGATAACTCACTTGCCTAGAGCAATTGTATTGTATATATGATACATAACTCATCTGGAATATACACATCTGTTAAGTGGATTTTGTTGTTGTGAGAACAACATGTTAGAGGCTCGTATTCCAACTTTTTGACTCTATAAAAGACACAAGAATTTAGAGTGCATAGCTTATATAGCGTAACATACATATTGATTCATGAAGAATTTTTCCTAATAACGATATTATTACAGCGATATTACTATATATGACATTTTTAAATAAATTATAAAGTATATATATGAAAACCTCAATGCTTATAGTCAGTAGTTGGGCTCCAAAAAATATGTTAATTTTACATTGTAGTTTGCTATTTATAGTATTGTTGGCACTGTCATTACCTTTCCTTTTTTATCTTATTATTCTCACTTTTTTTTATGTAAGTTCTCTTTTGCTAATCACTCAATTAGCTATATTTAGTTTTTATAATATCAAATGTTAGAATATTCTCTTCTACTTAAAAAATATTAATGTAATTTTCTTTAAAAATATATACACATAGTAGTAATAGTATGTACTTCAGTTCAACTCAATCATTGGCTTGAAGCCATTTAGAGTGAGGTCTTTTCTACGCTAAAATGGTGATATAGTGATTACAGAGTCTAAAAATCAAAGAAGTAATTTTTACAAAGAAAAAGTAATTTAATGTTTCAAATTAAGAAGTAATTTGTAAATTATACATGGACAGTGCAAATAGCTATAAAAAGTAATGTATATATCTTCATAAAAATTTTATAGTGAGTAACCAACTATAATCATCTTAATTTAAGCCTAATTAATTATTATTTTAGTTACTAATTTGATACGCTTAACTATAAACTAAATCTCCAGCAAAATTAGAAATTGAGATTGTATTATGTTGTAGGTAAATAAATAAATGTTATTAGAGGTCATCTTTATATTAAATTTAAAAGTAATAATTTAAATTATTAAGCACCAAATATTAGCTCATGTGAGAAAGTAAAGTAATATATGGTCTATATACGTTTATAGTCAATTAATCAAACGTATTAAATTTATGATAAACACAGTCAAAATTATATGGTGGGTTCACATTAAAATATAATTTATAAAAAAACATTACATTAAATCAAAAAAATTTAACCACTATATAGATGATCTGAAAATTTTTACATATATAAACTATATTGCCTAGGAATAGTGATGTGCACACTTAACTATGGTCTTATAATCTTATCGTCATTGTTTCCTCCAATACATATTGGTCTACTATTTATGAGTTATAAACACATAATCTAGTACAACATCTTTATTTATTAGTATCTTAAAGTCTTCAAAAGATGAGTGCCCATTCAATTCGTAAAGAAATTTTTATATGAAAATTTTGCATATATAAATTACACTGTCTAGGAATAGTAATGTGTTATACCCTTAACTATAGCCTAATAATCTTAAGAATGACTTACTCTTCAATATCATCATTAATTAACATATTTATGCATTTCACTGAAAAAACATAAAAATTTTAGAAAACTACAAAAGAAACACCCTAAAAATTTAAATAATTATAAAAAACACCCTAAAATTTTGTAATTTATAAATACATAAAATTATTAAACATTACATTGAAATCAAGAAATTACAAAAAATCATTAAAAATTTTTAAACTTTGAAGAGGTAATTTGCAATGTGCTAAACTTTAAGGGTGTTTTTCTGTAATTTAAATTTTAATAGATTTTCAATCATTTATGTTCTTTTCAAAAAAGTTACGAGTAATTTTGACCATAAAAGGTTTTTACTAAATCTATACCTTTAAAGTGAGTATGATATTTTTTTGTACAATTTTAGTTTTTTAGGGGTTGTTAGTAATTTTGTATATTTATTTTTGTGTCCATAGGTTAGAAATTCTCATGGTATTTTTTTTATAAATTATAAATTTTAAGGTTTTGTTTGTAATTTTTGAAACTTCAAGGGTGTTTTCTTTAAATTATAAATTATGTAGGAGATATTTATAATTCCTATATTTTTAATGTACTATTAGGTTAGAAATTATCAGAATTTTTATAAATTTACAATTCTGAGGGTTTTATTTTGTAATTTGTAAAAAGTTCAGAGTGTTTATTATAAATTCTATAAATTTTTGAGGGTTGTTTGTGTTATTTATAGGTTTTTAGTGTGTTTATAAGTTTAAAATTTGAAGGTGTTTTTTTATAAATTTTAAATTTTAGGGGTATCTTTGTAATTTTTAAAACTTACAAGATATTTTCTCTAAAGTTAAAAAAATTTTAGTTTATAGCTAGCATATATTTTTTGGATTTCTTATTGAATTAAAATAAGTAAAATTTATAATTTTCAAGATGTTTTAATAAAATTTTAAATTTGTAGGGGTATTTTTACAATTTAAAAAACTTAGAGGATTTTTTTACAAAGTCCAAAAAAATTTTAGGTGCTGGCTAGCATATGTTTTTTAGATTTCTATGTGAACTGGAATAAGTAAAGGATTTGAATTATATCAAACGTATTTTTTTTATCCAATAACATATTAAGTCTCATTTTAAATATGATAAATCATTTAGTTACTAATTCAAAGAAGATAAGATAATTAGAATAGATTAGGATAACAATGTAATATTTAAAAAAGTTGAGGGTAATACTAATCATGAAAATTTTTTTCCGAACTCGTACTTTTAAAGGAAGTATGATCATACTCCCTTTAAAGGAGGGAGTTGTGGAAAAACTTTCTAAAGACTATATTACCCCTATTCTCTTTTGATATTACATTATAATGTTAACTAAACTAAATTAATTATCATTGTTAATTAATTATATTATATGTCACTTTAACTTTGCATAATTTGGTCCTTAGAACTTCCAACATTATTATAAAACTCTACATCATATTAATTATTAGTAATGAATAATAATATATTAATAGATAATTACATGTCAATAAAGTATTTATGAAAAGAGTAAAAAACATAGAATTGTCCTAAATTATACCATGAAACTCATATAGAAAAATTACAAGATTAGCCAACATACCGGCCAGGATCACTCTGTATGAGCTCTTGAGGTTATCTAAAACTACCAAGGAAGCTCTCATCGAAGCCTTGAAGAACACGGAGAGCTTCATCACTCAAGTCACTCCACTTCCTGAAGCTTCTAAAGATCAAACTTGTCGGCAATGTCTGCAAGCGTCGAGGAGTTTGCCCTGCATATCATTTACTCAAGAAGATATGCAGGTCAAACACCAGCATGACGGGCCACTATACTACACAGGGTATATCGGTTCTTCCAAAATCAGTCGTGTGCAGGTTGACCCGGGCTCAGCACTCAGCATCATGCCTTACAGGGTCATGCAAGTTTTAGAAGATAAGATAATTAGAATAGATTAGGATAACAATGTAATATTTAAAAAAGTTGAGGGTAATACTAATCATGAAAATTTTTTTCCGAACTCGTACTTTTAAAGGAAGTATGATCATACTCCCTTTAAAGGAGGGAGTTGTGGAAAAACTTTCTAAAGACTATATTACCCCTATTCTCTTTTGATATTACATTATAATGTTAACTAAACTAAATTAATTATCATTGTTAATTAATTATATTATATGTCACTTTAACTTTGCATAATTTGGTCCTTAGAACTTCCAACATTATTATAAAACTCTACATCATATTAATTATTAGTAATGAATAATAATATATTAATAGATAATTACATGTCAATAAAGTATTTATGAAAAGAGTAAAAAACATAGAATTGTTCTAAATTATGCCATGAAACTCATATAGAAAAATTACAAAGAACATTCTTATGTTTAGGTAACAAGACATAAGGTACAAACATTAAATTTTAGAAATATTAGGATATTTAAGCGCATCAAGATTCGTTATCTAAAATTTAAAAAAAGTGCAGCAAGATACAAAATGAAGGTATATAAGTATAATTTTGATAAACTACAAGGTATTTAAGTTCAGTTAAGCCAACAAAAGATTTGAAACCTTTGTTACCCACAAACAATAGTATATGATCTCATTGATAAATAATATTTATCATATAATATGAGGCCAGATTGTTAGCTTATATTTATATAGTAGAGGAGATTGGAAAATTTAAAGCATCATATTTTGAATGAGTCTCAAGATTTTGAATTATTTCCTAAAATTATATACTTCACTTAGAAAACTTTAGAAGAGGATTTTGATTGACTATTACAAAGTGTTGGACGTTAAATAAATATTGAAAAAAATAAAATCCAAGATATCGGGTTGCAAAAACCAGGGATATGGTTGTAATACTGGGCGTCATATAAGATAATATTCATACATAACATGACATTGTAATATATAATCTAACATGTTAATGATTTTTAAGC